CCCCCGCCCCGCCCCGACTGCACCCCGACACCCACGTCATCACCGCCGTCTCGTCCAGGAAGGCCTGGGCCGTCACGTCGCACTTGATGTTCTTCACCGCCACCTTCTGCCCCAGATACTCGCCCTGCAGGACAGCTGGGGTGTGGGGGACGGAGGTCAGGACCACAGCACACAGGACCCATGGACATATCTGTGCACCCCCAGACTGAGTGCACCGCCAAGGCTGCGAGGTGGGACCCAGAAACAAGCTCCATGGCCCTACAGGCTCCAGAACCCAGCTCTGAGAGAGGCAGGGAGTGAGGGGTCTGCAGGTGCCCCGGCTCAGGGACAATCCTATCCCTGCAGATCGTTTGTGAAGCCTTGAGTCTCAGAGTGGTTTGGAAATTTTTCTTTACTTTTTTTTTTTCCTTTAGGTGGACAGGGGTTGAACCCAGGGCCTTTGCACTGAGCTATATCCCCAGCCCTTTTTTGTCTTTTATTCTACACTTGATCTTAGCCAAAAGGCCGAGAAGCGATTTTTTGTCTTTTATTCTGAGGCAGGGTCTCATTAAGTCACTAAATCACTCAGGCTGGATCTCTAACTTGAAATTCCCCTGCCTCAGCCTCACAGAGCACTATGTTTTAAAATCATTCCGATCCAGGCATGGTGGGGAACTCTGGGAGGCTGAGGCAGGAAGATCACAAGCTCAAGCCCAGCCTGGGCAACTTAGTGACTTACAGAGATCTGTCCCAAAATAAAAAATAAAAAGAGCAGGGATGTAGCTCAGTGTGAGATCCCTGGGGTCCACCCCTAAGATGGGAAAAAAGTGGAGTGCTGATCTCAGGCAAGCAGAGACCAAGGAGAGGGAGAGCCTGGCAGCTCAAGAGAACTGCTCGGATTGCCTAGGCACCAACCCGATTCATTTACTCCCAGGACACCTGCTGTCCCCCCACCCCCCCAACAAAATTGGGAAACTGAGGCTCAGAGTACTTGAGCTCAGCCTCAATCACACAGCTCCTAAGCACGCTGAGTTCACTTGGGCCCCACGCACCCCTCCTGGCGCCCTGCACCCTCACCTCCGAACTCCCCCTCTCCGATGGGGCCGCCCAGCGTCAGGTGCTGCAGGTGCAGGAGCCAGCCGGCTGCGGGGTGGTGAGGGGTCAGAGGCACCCACGGCCCACCCAGACCTGTGTCCCTCCAAGCCCGGCATCGCACAGGGCTCCAGCCCTCCTGTCCCTCTCTCCAGGACCCTCCTTCCCTGCACAGCTTCTGCAGGCTCCTCCTCTTTTCCCCCAATCCCAAGCTCTGAAGTTGCGGTCAGGCTGCACGCTGGTCTCTCCCAGATGCAGTCCCCAGGACTCCCACGGACACCATCATCATCCTGGAAAGGCTGTGGGGGATGCCTGGGGAGTGGAGGCCAAGCACTGGCTTTTGGCCTTGAATAGTGAGCACTGCACAACTCAGGGGCTGGAAAAGCATTTAAGGTGAAGGGAACAGAATAGGAGATGACCCAGAGGCATTCGAGAAATGTGGATGTCATGACTGACTCGGGGACGGGTTGTGGAGCAGCGGCACTTCACAGAGGAGCTCAGAAACACGGTAGCCACAGAATTCAGAGCATGGGCATCTCATGGATGGATTTTTCATGCTAGAAAGGTGCCTTGGGGCCCTGGTCCAGGGGCCAGGCTGAAAGGGGAGCGCCTCCAGGAAAAGGGCTGGGCAGGGAGGGCCCTGACCAGTGTGAATGTCACTCATGGGAGGAGCTGGCCTCGGAGGGCACAGGAGGTGGGCTGAGGTGCCCGGTGGAGCTTCCCGTTCATAGTGGGACAGGGACATGGGAGGGGCAGGTGTGGCGATCGGTTCTGTAAGGAGCTTATGTGAGCCTGTGAGTGAACCTCCACCACGCAGGGAGCCCAGGCTGGCTGAGCTGGGAAGGGCACAGGATGGGCGGCGGGGGCCGGTGGGGCTTCCCGTTCATAGTGGGACAGGGACATGGGAGGGGCAGGTGTGGCGATCGGTTCTGTAAGGAGCTTATGTGAGCCTGTGAGTGAACCTCCACCACGCAGGGAGCCCAGGCTGGCTGAGCTGGGACAGGAGGGTCCGGGTCCTGTCCCTGCCCCTGCCCCGGGGCGACCGTTACCCTTGGCCAGCTCCTCCTCTGCCGACTTGGTCCCCTGCTTCCTCTTGGGCTTCACGAGCTTGGTACAGATGGGTCCCTTGTCCTTGCTGTAGTGCTGGGGGGCAGGGTGGGGGTGGTGTGAGCTCCCGTGCCCATCCCTTCCTGGGGGTTCTCGGGGCAGGAGCTGGGGAGCAGGAGAGGGAGCCGTTTCCGTGGGAGCAGAAAGGCTGCAGAACAGATTCTGGGGGGATGGACTGGTGTCAACTAGGGGGTAGCCCAGGCCCAGAGGTAGAATCCGGGTGACTCAGACCGCCCGTGGGGTGGGGGTCCAGGGGACGCCCCTCCATCTGGGGAAGGTGCGGCTTGGGGGGAGAAGGGGGGCTCCCAAGGCCCGGTGCCCCTCCCGGCCACCTCCACCATGTCCATGAGGTTGCAGAAGCACACAGCCTCGTCGATGGTGAGGTGCCCGTCCCGGTGCAGCACGCGGTAGTGGATGACGTCGCGGCCGAAGCTGACGCACAGCACGTAGTCGCCGGGGTGTCGCGCAGACTCGCGCACCAGGAACAGCCCGTCCTCGGGCGGCTGCAGCTGCTGCACGGCCTCTTGGCCCGAAATCTTCCCGTGGAACCACCTGCGGCGGCGGCGGCACCGAGAG